CATTGACAGCAGAGGGGCCCCAGCAATTTCGGGTTAAGTGTGTGAGTCAAACACAGCCGCTGAGCTCCTGGGTCTCTCTAGATCCCATGAAAAATGATAGTAAACTACAAAAGACATAATCTCACCCCAATGAAGACAGTTACTAGTCAAGAATAGGTAAGGGGGGGCTGCCTGGGTGGCTCAGTGGGTTAAGCCTCTGCCTTCAGCTCAGGTCCTGATCTCAGGGTTCTGGGATCGAGTCCCACATCAGGCTCTCTGCTAGGCAGGGAGCCTGCTTCCTCCTCTCTCTCTCTCTCTACTTGTGATCTCTCTCTCTCTGTCAAATAAATAAACTCTTAAAAAAAAAAAAAAAAAGGAATAGGTAAGGGGAACGTGCCAAAGCAGGGCACAGAAAGAAACTTGAAAAGAAATGAAAATATAAGTATGGCTAAGCCAGCTATTTCTAGAAATATGTTCCACAGATACATTCACACGTGTGTGAAATGATCTATATTAAAGGTATTATAATTTTAACCTGTCAAAAGGCAGGGATAATATAAATGTCCATGTTTCCAAGCCTGGCTATATAAATTACAGTTCAGTCATACAATGGACTGCTCTGAAGCAGTAGAAAAGAAGAAACTCTTTAAGATACAAAACCAAGACCAAGATAAAGTCTTGGTATGTACAACATTTTGCACAGAACTAGAACAGATAATCCTAAAACTCATATGGAACTGCAGAACCCCCCTAGAGCCAAATCAATCTCGAGAAAGAACAAAGTTGGAAATATCATACTCCCAGACCGCAGGATCTATGACAAAGCTGTAGTAATCGAAGCAATATGGTACTGGCACAAAGGTAGACACGTAGGTCAGTAGAATGGACAGAGAGCCCAGAAATAAACCCATGCTTTTATGGCCGATCTATGACAAAGGAAGCAAGAACATACAATGGGGAAAAGCCAAACTTCTATAAATGGTGCTGGGACGATTAGACAGCTACACGCAAAAAAATGAAACCGGACCACTTTCTTATACCACACACAAAAATAAACTCAAAATGGATTAAAGACTTAAATGTGAGACTTGCAATCCTAAAACTTGTAGAAGAAAACATCGCCACGGGTACCTGGGTGGCTCAGTGGGTTAAGCCGCTGCCTTCGGCTCAGGTCATGATCTCAGGGTCCTGGGATCGAGCCCCGCATCGGGCTCTCTGCTCGGCGGGGAGACATATGAAAAGATGCTCAACATCACTAATCATCAGAGAAATGCAAATTAAAACCACAAAGAGATGGTCATTTTATGTCTGTCAGAAGGGCTAAAATAAACACAAGAAACAAGTGTTGGTGAGGATCTGGAGAAAGAGACAACCTCGTGCACTGTTGTTGGGAATGTGAATTGGTGCAGCCACTATGGAAAACAGTGTGGAGGCTGCTCAGAAAGTTAAAAATAGAGCTGCCCTACGATCCAGTCATTCCACTACTGGATATTTATCCAAAGATAATGAAAACATTAATTTGAAAAGGTATATGCACCCCTATGTTTATCATAGCATTATCTACAATAGCCTGGGTATGGATGCAACCCAAGTGTCCCTAGATAGATAAGCGGATAAAGAAGATGTAAGAAATATACATATATCTCACACATATTATGGAATATTTCTCAGGCATAAAAAAGTGGGAACTATTGCCATTGGCAACACTCTTAGATACAGAGAACAGACTGCCAGCTGCTGAAGGGAAGGTGGGGTGGGGGATGGGAGGAAACGATAAAGCGGATGGGAGGGACTTTTACGGCGACGAGCACTGAGTAATGTACGGAACTGACTAATCTTTACACTGTGTGTTAATTATACTTCACTTTAAACATGAGTGAACACTAGGAAAAAAAAGTATTCATGTAAATAAAATGTTATGATGTTAAAACAAAAAAGACTAAGAAAAGGGATATAGGTCTATTTTCTTGTGTAGATAGATAGAATACCTCTGGAAAGATAAAGAAGCTGCGACTTTTCTAAATGTGACGTTTTCTCCCAGGAGTGGGAAGCTCCAAGGCCAACACTGCTGGTTTCAGCAGAGGCGAGTGTCCTCGCTGACTGAAGGCGTCGGGGAAAATAAACGGGATGAGCTCAGCTTGGCTCTTCCCTTCTGAGGAGAGGGGGCTTCCATGTCCTCTGGGGCTCCTCCACGGTCAAAGGCAGGCTGAGGCCCGTGATCACTCTAGAAGAACACAGGGTAGATCTCCAAAATTTCATCTCATCATTCTTCCTGAGGAAACTAGTGGAAAACTTGCTCCAAAGCCAAATGTGGGTGTGAACCAAAAAACGAAAGCAATAGTAGAAACAGAGGGTCCTACATAGGAGGGGCAGTGGGGATTCCTGGGTGTGGAAGGGAAACCCTAAAATATTTGTTAGCCGTGTGGCAGGCCCAGATCAGAACAAGAGCACGGTGGGCTCTGTGACGGTGGGTGGCCTTCGAGAGGAAGCCAGAGCGGACGCTGCCTCGTGTGAAACTATTGAGAGCGGAGAACAGCTCTACAGAGTGGGAATCAATTAGTGAAACTGAAGCCACGAAACAAACAAGACTCCAGGGAAAACAGAGTTGTAGGAAGAAGAAACTCCTACTACACGATACAACTTAGCCCTGAAAAATACTGAAGTATTCCTATTTGTTTTAATTAACAAGTTACATAGGTAAGTAACAGTGATATAATTGATTTTTTTTAATTTTTTAAAAAAGATTTTATTTATTTATTTGACAGAGATCACAAGCAGGCAGAGAGGCAGGCAGAGAGGAGGAGGCAGGCTTCCTGCTGAGCAGAGAGCCCGATGTGGGGCTGGATCCCACGACCCTGAGACCATGACCTGAGCCGAAGGCAGAGGCTTTAACCCACTGAGCCACCCAGGCGCCCCTAATTGATTTTTTAAAAAGATTTTTATTTATTTATTTGAGAGAGAGAGAGAGAAACAGGAAGAGGAAGATGTAGGCTCCCCGCTGAGGAAGGAGCCCAAAGCTGGGCTCAATCCCAGGACCCCAGGATCATGATCTGAGCTGAGGCAGACGCTTCACCGACTGAGCCACCCAGGCATCCCAGATAATGCCTCTTCCAATGATGGCATGATTATTCTTGAGAGAGGAGGAGGAGAGGTAGTGTTAGAACCCCAAGTCCTTATCTGTCCTATTAAGAAATAAAAGGAAAAATACCTAAAATTGAAAAAAAAAATTAGCAATGTATAAGTCAGACCTGGGTGGCTCAGTCATTAAGTGTCTGCCTTTGGCTCCGGGTCACGAACCCCTGGGACTGAGCCCGGTGTCTGGCTCCCTGCTCAGTGGGGAGCCCGAATCTTCCTCTCCCTCTGCAGCTCCCCCTGCTTGTGCTCTCCTGCTCTGTCTCTCATAAATAAATAAACTCTTAAAAAAAATTAGCAATCTATGTGAACTATTTAGAACTATGGAGGTAAGCAAATACCAGAAGAAACAGCCGAAAGAATTCCAACGGTCCCCTCGGGGAGTGTGACTCAGGAGGGGGTTCGGGGCTGCTATTTCTCCACCAGAGGGCTTGCGTTATTTGACTTTTTAAATCATGCATTACTTTGAAATACATTAAAATTTAATTTAAAAAGCATTTTTAGAAAAAGCAATTTCTCACCCTGACCCAGCCTCTCAATGGGACTTCCAATTTCCAACCTTTAATCTACCATCATAAATGAATGGGATTCTGGTTGGAGAAACTCTCCGGCTCGGATGAGAACACACGGTCGCTCAGCAGAACACAGCTTCGCCCGGTCAAAGGTCTGAGAACACGTCCCCCGAGAGGCCCGGGGATTCCACGTGGTGTGACTCGAGGCCCGCTCAGCATTCCTGAATAAATAGAAGCTCGGATCCCAGAACCACACCACCTGTTTAACAGGCTCTCAGGCGAGCCGGAAGCGTGAAGTTGAAGCCCAGCGCCGTCAAAGCTAGTTTGTGACAAAGGAAAGTACCCAGTGCAGCCTACGATGGCTGCAGCGTCAGCTAGGGGCGCCTCTTAGTGTAGCCGGAGAAACCACAGGAGCCCGTCCTTTAGGCACTTGCGATAAATACTACTTTTTGCAATAATTTTTCATGAGCCTGGGGAACACGGAAGTCAAGCACAGGTTTTGCGTTACGTAGTCCCTAACAGAACCGATAGGGAGGGTGCACATCTTTGTAGGAAAACCCAAGAGCCTACCTTCAGGCTGTCTAGGTGTCACGGCCCCCCATCTCCATCTGGAGCTCGATCAGGGGAGTTGAGGGCTGCTTTTCTGGAGTGTTAATTCCCCCGAACTTCCAGCTGCCCTACCTACAACGAGATCATGAGATCACGTTCTGGTAGCAAGAAGACCCTCTCTCTGCCAAAGGGGTGGCAAGCTGGAGGGCGGGCCCTGAAATCCCTAGGGCTGAAAGGATACGGGGGGGGGGTGAGTGTGTCCTCCAAAGGGGAGCTGTGGGTTGGGTTAGGATTTGGCATTTCTAGGTGCCTTGGCTTAATGTCATCTAATAACCCCCAAACATACCGTAGCTTCTAACAGTGGTACACATGCCTCAACTTTCTTTTCTTTTTTTTTTAAAGTTATTTATTTATTTATTTGACAGAGAGAGAGAGAGATCACGAGTAGGCAGAGAAGCAGGCAGAGAGAGAGGGGGAAGCAGGCTCCCTGCTAAGCAGAGAGCCCGATATGGGGCTCCATCCCAGGACCCTGAGATCATGACCTGAGATGAAGGCAGAGGCTTAACCCACTGAGCCACCCAGGCACCCACACGCCTCAACTTTCAATGAATTCCCATACTATGAACTTAATTCTCATGAGGTCCTTTTAACCAGCGGCGCTTTTCCTATGTTTCGTTTTTCCAGTAACTGTTGAAGATTTATACAAAATTTCTTAACTACCTAAAAGGAAACCCCGAAGAAGACTGTATCGACTTTCTATTAATTTATTTCCACTTTCCAGCTACCGCAGCAGCCTGGTCAGCTGTACTGGGCACCCGCCTCGAGAGACATTAATTCCTGTGAAAACCAACTAGGAAATACAGCACCTCCGCGAAATTCTCAGGCCACCCAGCCCAGTTCTCGGTCGCCAGTATTTGCAAGTGGTATTTCAGGGTATTGTAATCTCTAAGTTCCTTCAAACAAGACGGGTTATTGCACGTCATGACGGAGAGCACGTAGCAAGTCCAAAATTTAACGAGGAGGCTGCTGTTTATTTCACTTTTGACGGTGGAGTCGAGTTTGTCCTCAAAAATCTCAGTGAGGATGGGAATAAACTTCAAACGTTTGGCTCTTTTCTGGCTCACGGGGTTCAAGTAACACCAGCAGGCTACACTCTGCAGCAGCAAGACCTTGGCCTTGGGCGGCATCTCGTGGTCTCTCAACAACTGAGCCACTTCCTTCATGTACTCGGTGGCGAACTTCCCAGCAGTCGGTCCACCTGCAAAACAAGCATTGGCACTTCAGAAGTATTGGGTTTATCTACGAGCTCCGGACACTGGAGTGGTGATGCCTCCGTATGCTTTTCGCTGTGTACTGATTCTTGGACTCCTCTGCACTTTCTTTTTTTCCCCTCCCCCTGCTGTGCTGCTGTGAACACGGAAAGGGGTGTTAAAAAGCAAAAAATAGGCAAAGTGCTGGAAATTCCCTGCCTGCTCAAGGCTGCTCCCTCATTCCCTTACTCAAGCACGCAGGGGTCCGTATCTGAAGGTGAACAGAACTGGCCGTGCTCCCTCATGGTCTTCTTCCTGGCTCTCTGTCGTCAGTACTTAGAAAACACCAGAGTATTCAAGCAAACAAAAGGAAAACCCAAATGCTGCCCTTCAAAACCAGCAGGATCTGACGGATGAGAGAAAGAGGTTCTTCATGACTTGTTGTCCACTGCTATTCTGTTCTGTCTCATTTCTCACCTCTCAGCCCAACGCTTACAGATCGTGACCAACGTGACCTGACGAGATTTTCCTTCCTTTGGTTTCTGACCCAACCTGGTCCTAGACTCTACGTTCATCATACACCTGAACCCCAGATTGCCCTCGTTCAAATCTCAAACCCCAGGAAGATAGAGCCAAGAAAACATGGGGTGAAGACTGTTTAGATGGTGGGGAGCAGCTGCCGTGGTTGGCCAGGTTCTGGCGGCGGGAGTTGTGACAGAGCTTGGATTTCTCTCACTGGTACCACCACAGTCCCACAGGCCCACAAGAATATTGGAGCCAACGATAAAGCTTCCGCTGAAGCCTGGGCACAAGCCCTTCCCTGCTTCCCACCAGTATAACTAAGGCTACATAACATCAAGTTAAGGAATTCTGGCCCTTTTGTAAATAGCCAGCTCTTCCCCAAATGGTGAATAAAGCTAACAGGCACCTGGCCTTCTCAAGCGGTGGGCGCCATTTCCCTTTCCTTCCCATGGGAGTCTCCCGTCTTCCTTCTCGCTCTATGCCAGTGGTTCTCACACATTCTGGCCCCTAGGAACCCTTCGGTCCTTGCAAACGGCAAATGTTTTCTCTCAAGGACACCATTTGGAAAACGAAGTGTATCAAACTCCATCTAGGTAATTCATTTGCCCATTAAAAAAGAGATCAGTCTAGACTGACTAGAGTTTGATGAAGTTTGATAGACTTAATAAAAGTAGGAAAATTCTTTGTCATTTATTTGATGGTCTCCCTCTTTCAAAACAAGAGATCCTCGAGGAGAAAATGATCGGTCGATGTCTTCGGTCGTACAAAGAACTAAAAATGTAGGCAAAGGAAATGTCACTGGCATCTGAAGACCAGAGCTCTGAAAAAATCACTAACTTACAGTGTTATAATAAGCAAAAAGATTTCGGAAGGGCTGTGTTAGCCCAGCTGGTTCAGTCCGTACCTGTGAAGGCCAGAAGTCCGATTCTATACGCAGCTTGAGCCCTCTTCTCAATGGCTAGAGATTCATTCTTTAATAAATGGCCAAGCACCACAATTTTTTCTTTGTGAAAAATACTCTCAACCGAAGGGACATCTTCCTCCCTCTCCTTTGTGAAAAAGTGGTTAATGGTGACATTCCAGAACTTCTTCAGGCGCCGACACAGCCCCACAAAATAGTGGCAAATCCACATCCAGCATTGCACATAAGCACGGGTGTTAGCCATGGCATGAAAAGGGCCTGTGGCGGGCAGCCGCTGAAGTTCAGAGTCAAGAACTCTGGAATACATCACTTAGCAACCCTGGAGAATGGGACACACCAATCAGGAGGAAGCACGGATGCCTTGATTCTTCAGGCTGGCATCGAAGGCGCTCTACGATTTCCACTAAACCAAGTTTCTTTCACTTCTGTGGTGTGTAGCACATCAGCTTCGACCACACTGGTTTCTCCCCACACACACAAGGTGCATTCCTGCCTGGGTACCTCTGCTTGGGCAGCGCCTGCTGGGAGCTGGCCTGCGTGCACTGAACCTCCTTCCGTAGGATTATCCCTGTGCCGTTTATTTGTCACGTAATCCGACCTTTTCTCCACGTCCCCGTGTCCTCTCGTTCCGTTCGCACAGCACACTTCAGCCACCCCTCGGCCCACTCAGGGAGATGGCTCTGCGGCCTTCTCCCGCCTGAACTAATTTCCCCGCTTTGACTGCATTGTTTGCTTCAGCAACAAGCGTGCTGTATGTTCTCTCATTTCAAAAAAAACAACACAAAACACTTTCTTGACCTCATATAACCCCTCCACCGAGTTATTGCTCTGCCCCCCTTAATACAAAAACTCTCCAAAGAGGTGCCGTACTCACCATTTCAAATATTCTTCCATCCTCTCTTGGATGTAGTCCTCAGAGAGATTTCCAACCCGTGAATCTGTTGGGATTGATGGTCAGCCTCACTGACGACCTTCATTCTGCAGAATCCAATTCTCAGTCTTTGGCATTAGATACTTACTCCCTGAGAAGCTTTTTCCCCCTAACTTCTAAGCTGTCGTACTTGGTTTTTCTCCGGCTTGCCACCCTCCATTTTCCTTTGCTGGTTCCACCTCTCTATGACCTCTAATAGCAGAGTGTCCCAAGGCTCAGGCCTTGTAGGCTCTTCTTTGTTTCTATCTATACTTCCCAGATAAAATAAGCCAGTTTTCACGGCTTTCCAGTGCCATCCATATGCCCAAAACTCCCAATTTAATATATACATATCTATCTATCTCAAACATTTTATCTTGAAGTATCTCCACACCCAGCATGGGCCTCAAACTCAAGACCCCAAGATCAAGAGTCACACGCTCCACCAACCAAGCCAGCCAGTGGCACCCCCCACCCCCAATTCTATTTCTAACTGGATTTCTCACCTGAACTCCAAACACAGTCAGTCACCAACTTGACCGCCATCTAGTTGTCTGTGAGTCTTCTCCAATACAGCGCGTCCAGCTCAGACTTCCTGGTCTTCCTCTCCAAGCCTGCTGCTGCTCCCTTTCTCTGGCTTTCTGCTGACTCAGTAAAAGCAATCACTGGTATTTAATGTCAGTCGGTGGATACTTACGCTCACAGCTGAATTCGAGGGGCCCGTCTGTGATGATGCTGGTGGGGCTCCAGCTAGGAACACACATGAATGAAGTCTCTTTCATCCTCTGGGGGCTCACGTCTCTGCTCATACATAACACAATTCACAAACACAGCTCTTTTTTCTTCCACTAGCTTTACAACAAATCTGAGAGGGAAATATTATGATCCTCATTTAAAAGTGAAGGAATTTCAAGATAAGGATAAACACAGGTTGAGCATGAGGTGCACCATGTTGTAGCCATGCTGGTTTAAGGAGGGCATGGGAAAAACAGAGCAGACTCAGCACGTGAGACTAATAATTCAAAAATAATTTTTATTTTAACTTACATGATTGAAAGAGTGATGGATACAAATGCCACGAAACTAAAAGCACCCCTTCGAGCAAAAATAAAATGCAGAAATGAATACAAAAGATATGGAATTCCTCATGCAATATTCAAAAAATTAGAAAAAAATACCCAACAAACCAAACAAAAAACTCTGTAACATTGTGATTTGAATTTCTATAAAAAGAATCATTTCAACATTTAACATAGACTATAGACTGTATATACTAACTGTAGACTGTACAGTGTACCTTTAAGATGAAAGATATATGTATATATATAATATTTATAAATATACAAATATATACACACATTATAACTTCACAGTTGAAAGAACTATTTGCCAGGAAGCCTGGCAAACAATTTTTACTTTTTTTTTTTTTTTTTTTTTTTTAATTTTAGGTAAGCTCTATACCCAATGTGGGGCTCGAACTCATGACCCTGGGATCAAGAGTCATGTGTTCTACCAACTGAGCCAGCCAGACACCACAACAATTTTTACTTTAAAATGGAATACGAGTTGCTTTTAAAGGTCTTGCTAAAATGTAAATATTTAAAACGACACCTCAATGATATTTTATACAAACACGTCCAGAATACAGTTGATACTGCACAGTTTAAATAACACTCACACATATTATTTTGAGATCTTGGCATATCCCTTCTTGTCTACTCTTAAGAGGAAGAAAAGCTACTGAGTGGTCTTGTCCTTTATTTAGTGGGCTTGCTACCCTGACAGGGAAGCAATAAAGGAAGCTGTTATTTTAATGATTTGGCCTAGATCCCACCCAGGGATGAAGGATTTCTCTGGGGGCAGTGACGGTCCCTCGGGGCATTCTTCTTCTTAATCTCATGGCAATTCCTGCAGAAGCAAGGATGGTTTGGATCATCCTTCTGCTCTCACCCCATTAAGAGTCCTCCAACTTCCAAGTTCTTCTACTTGAAACAGCATCACAGCTTTCTGAATCCATGACTTTTGGTTTCGTTTGGTCGTAGCAGCAAAATATCTCTATTGTAAAAGTATTGTAAAAAAATGGCTCTTGTTTAAAAAAGCTTAAACTTTGAATGTGTTTTTTTTAAGGAGTACGGGTATAATCTTTATAAAGTAGGTCTTCGTCATCCGCCTGTCTTTTAACCATCATGGAAACGTGCTTTTGGGATTTTCAGGATGGAGGAAAGAAATAAAAGAAGTAGTGGAGGCTTGAGGAAAATGAAATGAAAAGAAACATTAACCTCTTACAATGTGTCACTTTGACCAAGTTCTGCAGGCAAACTTTTATTTGAAGAAATTCTTTTTTTGTGCTTTGCATGAAGGTGAAATTAGGTAGCTAACGGGGCCACTCAACCCTGAGAACACGACAGAGAAAAACTGCAAGGCGTAGGACAGTCATCAAAGCATCACGTGACTATTTTAGGCTGCTAGAAGAACTTCCAAGAAAGTACAAAGATGGCTGTTTTAAAGATCCATACGTATGAGATAAATGGACTCTTCTACTAAGTATGGTCAGACGCAACTGACAGTATAATCTACAGAGCAACACACAGCCCGATTCGACTGGCCGAAGGAAAGGCAGCCGGGTCCTGGGAAACTCGATTTTGAATTCCATCTATAACATGTGAATTTCCAGACAACCTCAGCAGAACGCTTCAAGTCGTAAGCATTCCAGCTCGCTCCCGGCACCAGCTTGATGAACGGGGCCACTCGGGAAGACAGCTGTGGGGGAGAGTTCCTTAAAAAGCCGTAGCGACTTCGGTCCCATGGCGTCCTCCACCGGGAACACCGTCTCGAGGGAATTTGTCTAACTGCTCATACGCCAGCCGCCCGTCTTCTCCTGCACACAGAACATCAAAACGAATGGCAGCTGGAAGGTAACTTTTTTATTCATCACTCAGGATAATGATACCAGGTGTTTGGAAATGGATCGCTAATGTTATTTCGCTAATGTTAACTTTAGATAAGGAACCATCTTCTGAGATTTTTTTTTTTTAAGATTTAAAGATTTTTCTTAAAGATTTAAAGAGAGGAGGAAGCAGGCTCCCCACTGAGCAGAGAGTCCTATGCGGGGCTTGATCCCAGGACCCCAAGATCACGACCCGAGCTGAAGGCAGAGGCTTAACCCACTGAGCCTTCCTTCGGTTTTTTTTTTTAAACTCTTTTTTTTTTTTTTTAAAGATTTTATTTATTTATTTGACAGAGAGAGAGAGAATGGGTTAGCTCATTTAATCCTCCCATGGCCTCCATGAGGGAGAAGTGCAGATGTTCCCATTTTATGGAGGAGCACATCAAGGCCCAGCTCACCTATGGACTCCCAGACCTGGGACGCACTGTGATGGAATCCGGACCCACCTAGACTCTGTGGGACTCTAGGGAAAGAACTGAACTCTTCTAAACTGTAGTATATCCATGAGCAAACTAGGAACTGGCCGGGTATTTGCCGTTTTTTAAATAGGATTAGTTAGCCAAGGTATCCGGGGTGGGTGCTGCTGTGGGAAGAGCGTTGTAGGGATGGGCCCAACTCAGGCCCTCTGTCTCTGTCTCTGTCTCTGTCTGTCTGTGTCTCTGTCTCACCTGGAAAAGTGCTGTATTCAGTGTTCTATGTATCAGGGTTTTGGGTCAATACTTTGTTTCAAACACAGGGTTCTATTCCAGAGCAATTTAAAAAGGTAGGGAAAAAAATAACGTGTCTCAGAAAAGTCAAGGCATGCAGAAACAGTCAACAGAAATCTCTAAAAATTGGTGGCCTTTGCTTAGAGAAGAGTTCACCATGTTCTTTGAAATGCAGGCAAATCCCTACTTTCCCATCTGATGTATTACTGAAAAGCTTAAAGGTACCGCCCCTGAAAGCAAAAACAAACTTTTGGTTGATCAAGAGGCTTCTGGTTCCAGGGACTACAATGTATTATAAAACCCATAATTACACTCCTTTTCGAAAACCCACTAACATCAATGTATTCCCAGAATTTCATGAATCTTTTAAATTTTTTTTTCTTCGCAATGAACTTGTGATTGAGCATAACTCATTAGTCCCTTCTCTGTTCCTCTTGTATTAAATGCAGGAACGCCTACTTCTTATGCTGTTTGCCTGTGATTTCCCCCGCCCCCCCCCATTTTCTAATCATTGTTTTAGACAGAAAAATCAGAACGAAGTATTCAAATAATTTGCAAATAAATGTCGTCTGTTCGAGAGGACAACTGAGGGAAGTGACCTAGCCCAGCAGGGGTCCTTTGCAAAGAGTAATATTTTAGCTCAAGTGTGAAAGCCTAACTTTGGCTTTTATAAAAGACCCTTTAGATATGTCAGCTAGGGGACGCCTGGGTGGCTCAGTGGGTTAAGCCTCTGCCTTCGGCTCAGGTCATGATCCTAGGTCCTGGGATCGAGTCCCACATCAGGCTCCTTGCTTGGCGGGGAGCCTGCTTCTCTCTCTCTGCCTCTGCCTGCCACTCTGCCTGCTTGTGGGTACTCTCTCTCTCTTTCTCTCTCTCTCTCTCTGACAAATAAATAAATAAATAATCTTTAGATATGTCAGTTAGGTCATGTAAAAAAAAAAAAAAAAGTCCAGTGGAGGTTTCGTGCTTTGAAGTCAAGGACCAGCCATACTGAAATCCCTAACACTCTTAAAATATACTCTGTATGACTTCTC